TTTTTTTTTTAAATTAATAAATCCCAGATTTATGAGCGTACGAACAGAGCCAACAACGATTCCAAATCAAATTGTTCTTGCGGGATTCCAAAATCCAATTGGGTACGTACAATACGAACAGAAACAAATATAATTATGATTAGCAAATTCTTGATCCAATTAAATCCAATTTAATTCAAATAACTACGAACACCGACCCCATGCTCTGATACCACTGTTGGATTTTGGACTTATGAACCCAGCATATGCGCACCGAATTTTTAAAATTTTCTTGCCAACAAAATCCGGCTATAGCTATTTAAAGTGCATGTATATAATAGGGGTGTAAAAGAAATCCGGCCTAAATAAAATGTCAGGAAAAGTTGTGTTTTCTATCAATAATAATTGATGTTGCCATCATATAATTCAGTTGCATCGTGTGACTTATAGTCTCACCAAAACGTTGTATGAGTTTGTGTAGGCACAAAGCATTCACAAGAAAGTAAGTAGAAATGATACGGTCCTCACTGACTCAAGCAGCAGCTCCAACAGGGTGAGCGAGATTGAGGCGGGAAGTTCCATAGAGTGTTTCCTCGAATCGAATAATCTCATTCTTGGACCCATAAGCAACTTGAGTCCTGTCATCAAGGTTCGTAATCACTTTGTCCAGCACCGATTGTTTGCCATCGCTACTAAATCCACCCGCCTTCTCGATTAAGTATCCCAAAGGTGCCACCTCAAACAACAATCTCAACTTTGCTTTCGCTGTTGGGGACGTCACATTCGTGAAAATCCCTTTTTCTTTCACTATGATCTGTTGTACATTTTTCAACAAATTCTATTTTCATGCACCATTACCATATAAACATTCTTGACATCATTTTTTTTTTTGTTACTATACCTGATTTACATCAGGCACCATTCCTCCTGTGTAACGCAACGTGTATTTCTCACGTACGTAGTAGTCGATCAGCTGCGATTAATATAGTTTACCCATCTTTCGAGTTTTCTATTGAAAAAACTCCTTATTAAAATGATAGCCAAAAAATTAAAACCAAAACAGACCTTGGCATAGTCAGGGTTGTCCCAAGTAGCCCTCAAGTTACCAGGAGAAAACATTTTTCCTTCTCCGATTGACGTTGTGTCTTTTACGTGCTGCCATTTTCCTATTAGAAGGGAAAAAAAAATGTGATTGGGTAATGGTAAGACAAGAAATTATAATGGTAATAGTAACCTTCATCTAGCAAGAGAAATTCATGTGTTCCAGGAATATCTTTAAGAGCAAGCACATAAGTTGTTCTGGGCCCAAAAATGCCCATGGCAGCAGCAACTTGTTGAGCACCAGTAACCCCAGTAAGCTTGTCCCCAGGCCACACTCCAAATATGGTACCCACGGTGAAGTTTGTGTCCACAATGCTCGAACCATCCAACGGATCAAACGCAACGCTGAATCCTCCTGTTGCATGCATTCAAAAATCAACGAAAATAATCGGATTTGCTTTACTTCTTCTGTATTTTTTAAAAAAAGAGAGTAGAAATCATCTTCTGAAAACAAGCTTCAATGGGGGTATTCATTCAATTCAGTATAATGCATGCAAACCTTCCGCTGGGCCTCCCATATCTTGAAGCTCGGGGATTTCCTCCGAGCAAGCATATTTGCAGAAGTGAGAGTATTGCAATGCCTAGGAATGGTTAATCAACAGCATTAATAGTACAAATAGGGTGATATTTTATATATTAAATGATCAATCAGTGCAGCTACCTCAAACAGAAGCTTGTTAGCAAGCAAATCAACAGCAAGTTGTTCATCTCCGAAAGAGTTAACGCAAGCCGTTCCTCCACAAGATGCAGTTCTTACTTTGAACGCAATCGTCCTAAGTGCTTCCCCCATGCACATCATTAGCCTAATCAGCCCTTTATCCGGTGTCGATTTTGTTAGAAATTCTTCCTGCACTTCCACCAAAGCAATAAAATAGGGATGAAAGCAATAAGTCAACCTCTAAAGAAAATATACTCCAAATATTGAAACTTTGCCAATTCTTGTTGTACTCACCAAGCTATCACCAATCTCACACTTAGTCACCAGTGCAGAACTTTTTCCCTTGGAAACTCTGACCGATGATCTCGGCGCGTAACGTAGAGGGGCTCCAAATATTGAGCTTCCCATCAAATTCTGCAACACATTGCCAAATCACGTCATAATAAGCAATTTTATGTTCTTTTTTTTGTTTCTTTTTTTGAAGAGATGGTATGTATGTATATATAGAGTTACGAAAATCACAATTATTTGTCCAAAATTATGACTACATTTAATGTAAACTGGCGAAACGAACCTTGGAAGTAAAAAGGGTACGACGAGAAAGCCGGAGCAACGAGGAAGAGGAATACTGCTGTGAGGAGACATTGAGCAATATGGATGCACGAGCTGAGCTAACAATATTAGTTTCCATCTTCTTCTTTACTGATACGACAAAACAGGTCTTGCAAACGAAGAAGAGAGGTGGTTGTTGTTAGCTAGCTGAGTTTGAGGCAAGCAAGCGGGAGTGAAAGGGGATAGAAGATAAGCAGTTAACAATGCGCTGACACGTGGACGCAGTGCATTGGATTGTGTGGTGTGGTCAATTTCTATCTGTTCTGCAATTTTGTGGCCCATACGTGTGTGGTGTGGTGTGGTGTGGTGTGGTGTGGTGTGGTTAATTTCTATCTGCAATTTTATTTCAGAAATTCTATTGCATGATGCTTGCATGACCAAATTATTCTTGAAATCATATCCTCCCAAACTTCTTGATCAATTCATTAAACGTGTTTCGCGCGACTTTACTTTTTGAGCCCGTTCGGACTCGTCCAAGCTCGAAATTGATTTCTGCTTCTTCCTATATGTCGCCAATGAACCCTTCTACATAACCATGATTGTCCGGTCAATTTTCGGGCTACTTCTATTCCTCACGGGCTAAATAATTAACAAATTACCCATTATATAAATAGATGGCCCATGGATGTTTTGTTAATGGGTGATTTGTTAATATTTAGCCCCGTGAGGAATATATTTAACCCGAAAATTGAACGGGCAATCACAATTGTATAGACAGGTACGTTGGCGACATATAGAAAGAAACAGAACTCAATTACGAGCTTGGACGAGTCCGAACTGCTAAAAGCAATGAACAGTAGGGGTAACTAGTGAAAAACTGACTAAAAAGCAGACATAAAAGCAATGAACTTCTCCTCGAACTGCTAAAAACTGACTTGATAACTAGTGAAAATTGATTTATTATATACTACCACGTAAAAAAATAAACAGTAGGGGTAAGAGACATAAAAAAACATGTATATAAAATATTTAAGAGTAATGTATTGTATAAATATAAATAATTAACAAAAGAAGACATAAGGAGTAATTTTCTCTAAATTATCTCTCATTTATAATCGGGCTTTTCCCACTAAATTCCCAAAGCTCTTTTCAACTTCTCATTTAGTCTTCTTTTGTTTTTTTTTTCCACTGCATTCTAGTCTCCAAAAATTTGGAGGTTCCAAACAAAATTTACATTTTCAAATTTTTCTCCATTTGAAGTTCTAGTCTCCAAAAATTTGGAGGTTCCAAACAAAATTTACATTTTCAAATTTTTCTCTATTTGAAGTTACGTGGTAGGCTACTCGTAGATAGAATCATTACAGAAAAAAAATCTAATTAAACAAGACTATTAAATAAAAAATAATTAAAAAATAAATATATCATATTTTTCTAGACCTTGGAAAAAATAACTTTAATAAATTAATAATTACATTCAAGCAGTTACGAATACAACAAGGAGGAGAAAATAAAAATCATATTACAACAAAAATATATTTATTCTCACACAACTTGTTCTGACCGAACATCATAAGAAATCAAATAAAATATTTACACAAAGTACATATTTTACTATTAGCACATTCATATGTGTAATGAGCCATATTCATATTTAGCCATTAGCCCATTAATTTTTGTAAATAAACAAAACCAAACACAAATACATAACATTGAAAAAATGGGCTACTTCTACAAAAGTATATAGACCCCTTTTCAACTTCCAGTTCAGTATCTAACTCTAATTTTCTTCCACTTTACTCTCTCCCACTTGCATTAAAATAATAATCCTCTAGTATTCTCACAATACCCTTAGATTTATTTAAGTCTGGAAAAGTAGTACCAGAATATTTTTGAGTCATACCTCTTTAATAAGAAAATAGTACCAACTTTATTAATACGCAGTACCGAATCTTTTGTACATGAATTATTCACTCAAAGAGTTCCCACAATAAAATAAAAAATACCAAGCCCAACATGCTTCTGTAAAATTAATAACTCCATAACTTTCGTATCTTTTTTGACCGAAATGGTTCCGGGTGAGATGAGTTGTGTTGGAATATCACTTGTGAGTTGTCCCACATTGATTTGATAGGGCAAATGAGCCTAGTTTATAAGTCTAGTGAGCTACTCCTCCCATCACCAATTGGTTTTGGGATGGAACCTCACTTGGGCTTCATTTGGGCTAACCCTCTAATGGTGCTCACCTGTGTGGGACCGCACTCGTTTTGCCCCCC